CGGTAGCCCGACGACCTGCACGCGAAGTCGAGCACTTTACGGCAGCACAGTTTAACGAGGACCAATACCGCACACCCTCGGTCCCTACGCAGACTGATCCAAGTGGTCACCCACCCGCACACTGACTGTAGCCAGTGATGCTTGATTTCCGTGATCTGCTGGGAACCGTGTCTTAACCATCAGTCCACTGCGGGACTAAGAAATCTTTACATATAAAGTATTTTCAGGCTTTGATTTCTCTAAGCTATTTAAAAGACAAATATATCAAGAAATTGAAAAGAAAATTATTATGTAATAAATTGAAAATCGAACATCATAAAAACCACATTTTCACCATAACTGATGCATGATATCTTGTAGCATACATATCTTTAAAAATAAGTGTTTAAAAAAGCATAGATCATTGCTTCTCGCAGTACTTATGAAAAGGTGATTCTAAGGACTCAAGAAAAAGATTCAAAATTTTAAAGAATGAATTCCACACAAAACCAGCCATTTTCCATTCCAAACGAATCAATAACGTTCTAAAAGCGTAAAAATACGACTTTTTTTTAGGTGTGAAGACAAACCTGAAACTACCTTTGGGATCGCGCAAGAGAAAATATATATTTTAAAATGAAATAAAACAATGAATAAAACCGTGAATCAGTATTTTGAATAGGTTTAACTTATTTTAATCGATTTAAATGAAATGAATAACTATTTAAGGGAAAAAAATTAACATATACTTTTTCATGAAGCGTTTATTTAAAAGTTCAGATTTATAAATACTAAACAGTTATTTAAGGAAACAATTCCTTTCATTACTTATAATAGTTAAACATTAGTAATAAATGTATTAATATTTAGTAATAAATGTTTAAACAGACTTATAATTGGAGCATAAATTCCCACATGGCACAAAATACCTCATTTACATTTTAAATATATTTTATAATTGACTAGGGGGCTTTGTGGTCTGTGCTCACTACCCACATGATTGCTACAATCATTGTCTTTGTTTCTTGACGATAAACAGATTGTAATACATCTAAATTGAAAAGTATTGAATTAAAAGATTACGAAAAGTTTTATTGTATTAACACAAATTTAGTTTTTGTTACAATCACAAAAANATCGTGACACAACAAAAAAAAATTAATAGTTTTATTCGGTTAACATTGCCTCTTCATCCACTAACTTCTTTTTCTAAATTTTTATTTCATTTTCGGTTACAAAAAATTGGTAAATGTTTTTCGCTTAAGAAATTATTTATTAATAATGCAAAAAATTAACTCCTAATAATTTTCTTACAATTTTATGTATTTTTTAATTTAATTGCATGCTTGACTGGTCACAGTTTTTGACAAAGCTTAGAATTGAAGTAAATGCAAATTTAGCTACTGTTTAATAAAGAGATACCTACAAGTGACGTGGTATCTCGATCCTGATTGGTTGTTACAAAAGGGGCATTTGCTTACGTTAGCAACTGTTCTTTCCATTCTATTTCGAGCAAGCCTAGTCCATTAAATATGAATTTTCTTACGTGACACATTCTGTTCAACACCTCTTGGAAGAGAGAAGACCTCTGCACAGGTCACCTTGAACGAAAAATCTGATCCTTTAGTTGTCCGAAAGCAGAGATACCAACTGATCCACTTTTCAGTCTTTAAAGGATTTTATAAAGTGGCAGAGACATCA